TTTAAAATTGCACTTACAGTTTTTAAAGTGTTTTACAAGTGAAAATTTTTTTTTAGATTTTTGTAATCATTTTTTCAATAAAAAAAATTCTAAAAATTTTTTAATGTCGGCTAACTTAATTTTCAATTTTTTAAAAAATAAATTATTGTAAAAAATTGTTTTTTCTTAACACAAAAATTAATAAAATTTTATAAAGATATTTAAAATAAAATTACAAAAAATATAAATGCTTAGAAATAATTTTTATTAAATATTTATAAAAAGCGTGCGCTCAAAAAATTAATATATAATATATATTATTCGCAAGGCCATAAATTCATGTAAATATTTTCAATTGAAATTGAGTATTATTTTAGCTTGTAAATTTGTAAACTGGATAACGCGGCGCATAGTGTCCTCGAAGACCCATAACTTGATCTGATTCTCCAGCATCCCTGATACTGCGGATTGACCAACCATATTCTTCATAAGCCGGAGGAGCTGCACAATAATTAATTCAAATAATAAAACAATCAAATGTTATTAATTTCATACACATGTCAGGTTATTTCAGAGAAATTTACTTACGCAAATTGGGGTATGTATTATGGTTTGTTTGTAACTGAGCGGGAGAGTCAGAGTTATAATCAGGTGGAGCTGAGGGAGGTGCTGGGTTTCCATTGTCAGGGGAAAACTCAGGATATCCACTCGGGTACCCACCGTAAGTTGGATCTGCACCTGGATTTCCTGGCATCGGAACTTTACTTGGACTTGTGGGTGGCATCACTGAATTTTGGTAACTTGCCAGTGGAATTGTGCCAATAAATACTAGCATATTTTGCTTTAGATTTCTGTGATACCTATTCATGACATTTAAAAGTTATTACTATAAAATTAACAAAAAAAAAAAAAATCTGGATGAAAAATAAAAATAACTTACCATCCAGCAACACAAGCTTCAATTTTAAGATTATACTCTAAATCAATAATCCCACAGTTTGTAAGATTCGAGGGCGGTAAAGGCGGTATATCTAGCTTTTGTTGATAATCTGACGTAGCATTACCTTCTACTGGGCCTTTACTTACTTCAGCGATCATAATTTTCTCCGTTTTTGTCTCAAACCGCGGGTTATTCGCTTTAAAAGTTACTATCTTCCTCAGAATTAATTTAATTGTGTCCACTACTATTCCTGAGTGGTTTTCAACATTCACGCGGATCATCATTGCCTGACCTGGAACGTATCCTTTTACTGGCATCATGATGTTTACTTTAAGCGGAGGAGACCCGCAGCAGAGGCAGCAAAAAGTTTTTGACATTTCTAAATTAACTGGCTCCTAAAATATTTATAAATTATCTATATTATTAAGGGAATAAAAAAAATGTCTCCAGGATAGTCATATGATAAAATCAGTTTTTTAGTGAAATTTAGTGTCATTGCAAAGGTCTTGAATTTGTGCCTTTTCAAGGTTTCATATCATTTTCAAGGATAGTAAATTTATTATGATAAGTATTTAGGCTACATTCGAAAATTCTCTATCTCTAGATACATAATTAAGTTAAGAAATTACCTTGTATCTTGTGAACTATTGACATTTTTAAAGATATAAGCTCATCCCGATGTTACACTCATCAAGAGCTTTCATTTGAGTACCCACATCAATTTTTCATATATTTTATATATTTATATATTTCACGAATATCATATATATAAAATATATAAAAAAATGCCATGTGGGTACTCAAATGAAAGGTCTCGATGAGTGTAACATCGAAATGAG